TGTCCTTTGTTCCTCTATGTGTGTGCATGTGTGCTAAGTCGCTTCAGTTGTGTCCAGCTCTTTGCAACCCTATGGACTGTAACCTGTCAGGCTTCTCTGTCCTTGGGATTCTCCAGGCAAGAATACTGGAGTGGGTTGCCATGCCCTTCTCTAGGGGATCTTCCCAATCCAGGGATCGAACCCAGGTCTACCACATTGCAGGCAGATTCTTTACCTTCTGAGCCACCCAGGAAGCCCAAGAATACTGGAGTGGGTAGCCTATCCCTTCTCCAGCAGATCTTCCCAACCCAGGAATTGAACCAGGGTCTCCTTCATTGCAGGTGGGTTCTTTACCAGCAGAGCTACCAGGGAAGCCTCCTGTAGGTAAGGTAATTTTTCCTCTCCGGCTCTGTTCATCTTTGATTTTCTGTAGTTTGAAAACGATTTGCCAAGATGCTGTTTGGGTGGCATTTATCCTGCTTGGTGTTCTCTGAGCTTCTTGGATCTGCGGGTTAGCTCCTGCTGTTGATTTGGGGAAATTCTCAGTCACTATTGTTTCAAATATTTCTTCTGTTTCTCTCTCCTCCTCCTGGTTCTCCCATTATAGGTGTGTTACACTCTGGTTTCCTCATAGTCCTTGGATACTCCATTCTTTTTTCCATCTTCTCTGTGCTTTTCAGGTTTGGGGAGGGGGGTGGTTCTGAGGTTTTCACTGCTATGTCCTCAGGCTCTGAGATTCTTTCCTCAGCCACATCCGGTCTGCCAATAAGTACATCAAAAGACATTTTTCGTTTCTGTCACAGGGTTTTGATTCTTCTCTGTTCTGTCAGGATTTCCACCTCTCTGCTCACATTGCCCTCTGTTCTCGTGTGCTTTCTGTTTTGTCCACTTGCGCCTTTAGCATACGATCATAGTTGTTTCCAATCCCAGGTCTGATCATCCCACCATCCCTACCATGTCTAGTTCTGATGCTTGCTGTATCTTTTCCAACTGTGTATTTGGCTTTTTGGAATGCCTTGTCATTTTTTTTTTACTTAATAGCCAGCCATGATGTACTGGGTAAAAGGACCTGCTGTAAATAGGCCTGTGGTCATGCCATAGTAAGGTGTGGGGGGACAGGAAGCATTCTAAGATCCTATGACTAGGTCTCTGTTTTCTGGTGAGCCTGTGCCTCTGGACTGTGACCTAACAGATGTGGGATAGGATGGCTTAAGGGGGCTGGAGTTGGGTATTTCCCTTCCTCAGATCAGTTAGGCTCTGATCATAGCCCAGTTGGTTAGGTTCTGGTTGACTAGTTTCTGCTGAGGACAGACCCTGTTAAGCACAGAATGTCTGGCGTATTTCTAAAATGATTCCCCTTACAGAAGTATGAGGGGATTCTTCTCCATTATCTTACCATGGGAACCTGATTGGGCTCCCGGGGTAAAACTCACGGAAGTATGGGAGACCCCTGTGACTGGGCTGATAACTCTCAGGCTTGTCCACACACAGCCTCCAGGACTTTGTGAATTACGGTCCCGGGGTTACTCCCTGAGCACTGGCTCCCATGGAGGTTGCCACTTGTGAGTCTCTGCTCCCAGAAACTGTTGCTCCAATCTTGGGGGCAGCAGGTTGTCCTGTGTCCCTCCCTCCCTTAGGGATCTCAGAGGAATTGTTGGTTTTTCAGTCTACTAGGGTGGAGTGGTGACTTCCAAGCTCCTTACGTGCAGAACCAGAAACTGACTTAATGTTGGTGGGGTGGAAACTGGTAACTGCTTTACTAAATACCATATTTTGTAAAAATAAAAATGTGTGCCCTTTGACCTAGCATTTCCACCTATGGACAAACTAGCATCAATGCACAAAGACGTAAGTACCAGAAGATTTTTTTGCAGCAGCATGTTTAATATAGGAATGTTGCATAAAATATGCTATACTTACACAAGGGAATGCTACCCAGTTGCTAAAAAGAAATGAAGTAGCTCAATATATCCTGACATGGAAAGAAATAAATCCAAGACACATTTGTTCAGTGGAAGGAGAGAAAAAGCCAGATTTCAAAATAGTGTGTTTAAGATTCAATTTTTGTTTAAAATTTACTCGTAGTAAAAACAGAGGCATGCTTAGAGAAGAAAGACTATTTTTAAAGAATTTATGCCAGAAAAACTATTGGTTTCCTTTGAGGGACCCTTTTATAGGGCTGTTGATGTATATATAAGGCTGTTACTTAATGACATTTGTCTTATAATGAACGTGTACTTGATAATTAGGTAAAAATTCAAGTAGGAAAATAGGAACAGATAGAGCTAGTTAAGAACGATAAAAGAGGAAACCTCCCTGGTGGTGCAGTAGTTCAGACTCCGCACTCCCAATGCAGAGGGCCTGGGTTCAATTCTTGGTAAGGTAACTAGAGCCCACATGCCACAGCTAACACCCAGCGCAGCCAAATTTAAATGAATACATAAATTTCAAAAAAAGAGTGATAGAACAGAACTGGTATTTCAGTCACTTTTCCCTGCATCAGGTGATAATGCAATAATAGTCTCTGACTCTAAATTTGAATTTATCTCTGCAGATACTGTGGGAGAGTAGGCTCAAAGAAGTGGGAGTTTGAAATCTCCTTGTGTCTCTTTTGCTCTTTCAGGAGGTGACGGCTCTAAGATGACAAGGGTTCCAAAGAGAAATGTCTTACCAGTGATTGTTTTTTGTTTTTTCATGTAGAGTTTTTAATTGTTAATTCTTCTAATAAAAATCTTTATCAGGAGACATTTCCCCCTCTGCAGGGAAGCACTTTCTCTGGTTCTGTTATGTAAAGATTCGTGGTTTGTGTACCCAAGAGACGTTTATAATGACCTATTTTACAACATGTGTCTCTCCCTGACTAAAGAGTACATTAGCAGAGTGGATACCCGTGAAAGCTATTTGCCTTCCATGATAAAATAGTGTTTATGTCTATGATTTTCCTGCTTAAATGACATCTAAGCACCCTGCAGGGTCACTGATGTAGACTAATAATCTTCTGAGTTCCTGCACCCAGTTCCAATGGGGAGGTGGGGTGGAGAAACTTCCCACATAACACGAGGTGCTTCTCAGACCCAAGTTGGGTGTCCCGCAATTCAACTCAGTTCTGACACTGTCTTCTCAAAGACAGCAACAGACTCCACAGGTTACAGGCTCAGAACCCCCTCCTTTTGGGTTTTTATGTAGCCTCCCTTATATTCAGTTCAGTTCAGTCGCTCTGTCATGTCTGACTCTTTGTGACCCCATGGACTGCAGCACGCCAGGCTTCCCTGTCCATCACCAACTCCCGAAGCTTACTCAAACTCATGTCCATCGAGTCAGTGATGCCATCCAACCATCTCATCCTCTGTCATCTCCTTCTCCTGCTTTCAATCTTTCCCAGAATCAGAGTCTTTTCCAATGAGTCAGTGCTTTACATCAGGTGGCCAAAGTATTGAAATTTCAGCTTCAGTATCAGCCTTTCCAATGAATATTCAGGACTGATTTCCTTTAGGATGGACTGGTTTGATCTCCTTGCAGTTCAAGGGACTCTCAAGAGTCTTCAACACCACAGTTCAAAAGCATCAATTCTTCAGGCTCAGCTTTCTTAATAGTCCAACTCTCACATCCATCCATGACTACTGGAAAAACCATAGCTTTGACTAGATGGACCTTTGTTGGCAAAGTAATGTCTCTGCTTTTTATTATGCTGTCTAGGTTGGTCATAGCTTTTCTTCCAAGGAACAAGTGTCTTTTAATTTCATGGCTGCAGTCACCATCTGCAGTGATTGTGGCGCCCAAAAAAATAAAGTCTGTGACTGTTTCCACTGTTTCTCCATCTATTTGCCATGAAGTGATGGGACCAGATGCCATGATCTTAGTTTTTTGAATGTTGAGTTTTAAGCCAGCTTTTTCACTCTCCTCTTTCCCTTTCATCAAGAGGCTCTTTAGTTCTTCTTTGCTTTCTGCCATAAGGGTGGTATCATCTGTGATTCTGAGGTTATTGACATTTCTCCCAGCAATCTTGATTCCAGCTTGTGCTTCGTCTAGCCCAGCATTTCACATGATGTACCCTGCATGTAAGTTAAATAAGCAGAGTGACAATATACAGCCTTGACGTACTCCTTTCCCTATTTGGAACCAGTCTGTTGTTCCATGTCTAGTTCTAACTGTAGCTTCTTTACCTGCATACAGATTTCTCAAGAGGCAGGTCAGGTGGTCTGGTATTCCTCTCTCTTGAAGAATTTTCCAGAGATTGTTGTGATCCACACAAAGACTGGCATAGTCAATAAAGCAGAAGTAGATATTTTTCTGGAACTCTCACTTTTTTGATAATCCAGCTGATGTTGGCAAATTGATCTCTGGTTCCTCTGCCTTTTCTAAATCCAGCTTGAACATCTGGAAGTTCACGGTTGATGTACTGTTGAAGTCTGACTTGGAGAATTTTGAGCATCACTTTGCTAGCATGTGAGATGAGTGCAATTGTGCAGTAGTTTGAACATTCTTTGGCATTGTCTTTCTTTGGGATTGAAATGAGAACTGACCTTTTCCAGTCCTGTGGCCACTGCTGAGTTTTCCAAATTTGCTGGCATATTGAATGCAGCACTTTAACATAGATGCGGTTGACTACATCATCAGCCGTTGGTGTTTGATTAGACTCCAGCCCTGCTTGCCTCCCTGAGGTCAGGGAGTGGGATTGAAAGTTCCAACCTTCTAATCACAGAGTTGCTCCCCTGGTAACCAGCCCCATCCTTAAGTGCTTCTAAAAGTCTCCTCCTTACCGTGACCTAAGGGTCACCTTTAAGTTCTCATCTGTTAGGAAGTTCTAAGCATTTAGGGAACTGTGATCCAGGAACCATGGATCAAAAGCAAATACATATTTGATTATCTGAATATATATGTATTTCACATCAATCATAATACTGCACATCCTAATGTAGTATAACATATGTTTTTCCTAAGTGATTAATTTCATGCAATTCAGATTTTACATAGTGACCTACCTGTTATTGTTTTTGCAAACCCTGTGAATTTTCTAACAGAAGTCCTGGAGGGGATTTGGGTGCCAAAAAGAAAAAGAAGAAACAGAAGAGAAAAAAGGAGAAACCAAATTCTGGAGGCACCAAGTCAGACTCGGCATCCGATTCCCAGGAGATTAAGATTCAGCCGCCTTCAAAAGTGAGAACTGTGTTTTATTTTAATCTCCGTGGTGTTGTATGCCTGTGAAAGCGGGTCCGGGCAGCTTAGGTGAGCACCCTGTTGGGGCAGAGGTGTAGTTAGGGTGTTGCCGTCACCGTGTACTGCATGGCAGGGGTCTCTGTGGGGTATTTACAGAACTCACATTGGCACCCAGATAACTAAGCGGTCCGTGCTGGGATTCTGTGTGTTGTGTGTGTGTGTGTGTGTGTGTGGTCTGCCTACATCTTGCCCCTTTGTAAGCAAATTAGTATATAGCTTGTAATCATAGAATGAAGTCTCAGTGTGACCTTGTTAGGTTTTTAAGTTACACTTAATGTTTGATTCCTTTTTGTTCAGAAGATATTCACATTTTTTATTTTCCTGGGTCTTGGTCTAATTACTTGAATACAGCACCATCAGGCCAGATTTCAGCAGGAGCCTCCACGGGTAAGTCTCATGTTGACTTTGCCTTGGACCAGTCTGTAGCGGCCAATCCTAATTCCATTGCCAGAGGGTGGAAATAACCCAGTTTAGACCAAACCAGAAGAGGTCTGGCTGGGCCCCATGTCCTGTATGCCTCTGGAGGTGCTGATGCCAGACGCCCCTTCCCTGGGGTCACCCCGGTCACCCTGGCTGTGAACAGAGACCTCGTGTGCTAGGCCCAGGAAAGACAGAACCCTTGATGCCAGACACAGCAAAAAGCGGGTAGAGTTAGGCATGTAACAAAACAGATTATATGATTGTTGTAGCTCCAGGTGAGCTGGGGAGTGCGTGGTATCCTGGCAGGAGGTAGGTCCTGGCCCTGTGGCTGTGTAGTCAGGTGCCTCTGCCAGGCTCTGCCCCTCCCACAGCCACCCAACTCACAGGCTCTCGTGAAGTCATAATCAGACCACCTTTAGCACGTGGTTTTTATGCTATAAAGCACTGTAGACGTGGTGGCAATTGTTATGGTTACACAAGTTTTGTGGGGTCTAAATGTCTTTCTTGCACAGTTTACATCATATGACAGTGGGTGAGTCTGGCAGGTGGTTTTGTTGTTGTTATTATCAGTTTTACACACAAGAACCAGGAATCACCGAGAAGGAAAATTACTTGCCCCAATTTTTCCCTGACTGCTTTTGTGGGGTGAGAAGAAAGTACAGTCTCCATCAATAGATTTTCAATCTGGTTCTTAGATAATAAATAGTCTATCCACAGTTATAAGTTCCAAGATAACTCGTATAAGCTGGCAAGATATCTTTTTTATTTCTCAAGGTTGCTTCATCAGATAAATGTAGTGTTACATGCATTCATGACTATCTCCTTATTCCTTCTGTCTTCACCACCAGCTGCTGCCAGTCCCCGTACCCCTGGTGATTTTGGGTCCTTTCCCTACCTCCAGTCACTTAGAAGAAGCTACATAATGGGAATTTGGGATTAGCAGATGCAAATTCTTACATAGAGGATGGATAAACAGCGAGGGGTTTTCCTGAGCTCTCAGTTGGTAAAGAATCCGCCTGCAACGCAGGAAACCCCGGTTCGATTCCTGGGTCGGGAAGATCCGCTGGAGAAGGGATAGGCTACCCACTCCAGTATTCTGGCCTGGAGAATAGGCTACCCAATCCAGTATTCTTGGGCTTCCTTTGTGGCTCAGCTGGTAAAGAATCTGCCTGCAGTGTCGGAGACCTGGGTTTGATACCTGGGCTAGGAAGATTCCCTGGAGAAGGGAAAGGCTACCCACTCCATTGTTCTGGCCTGGAGAATTCCATGGACGGTATAATAGTCCATGGGGTCACAAAGAGCCGGACATGACTGATTGACTTTCACTTTCTTTCACAAACAACAAAGCCCTACTGTATAGCACAGGAAAGTATATTCAACATTCTATGACAAACCATAATGGAAAAGAATATGAAAAAGAATACATCTGTGTATAACTGAGTCACTTTGGGGCACAGCAGATTTTAACACAGCATTGTAAATCAACTCTACTTCAAAAAATTTTTTTAATTAAAAATAAAATGAGTGGATGAGTAGAATTTTAAGGAAAAGGAACCAGGCAAGGTAGGAGGAACTGCTAGCATGATGTCGTAGAGAGATTCTTTCTTTTTTAGTAAAGTCAAAATTGTTTTAATGTGGGCTTTTCACTGCATCTTAAAAACTGGGGCTCCTTTCCCCTAAACTGATGCCAGCTCAACATAAAACCATCAATTACAGTGACTTTTAGAGATTCTTTAGTTTCAAGAATATTGTGGTTTACGCTCAAGAACCAAAATAAAATGGTATTTGGGTTCTTATACACTTCATAGTGATTAAAGACTTGGACATTTTTTCCACGGTATTAAATTGGAAACTAGTGGGCAAGGAGTACAGTTGGTGTTTGTTTAGTTATTTCCCAAGGAGCAGGTAAGGAGAAAGAGAGGCATGTCTGACTCTTACATCAGAAATACAATAGTGGGAGATTAATGTAGGATCCTTACCCAGTCTCACCTTTCTAAGCACTCCATTTGGTGCTGTTCCGGAAGGTGATTGGATAGGTTTAAGAATTTACCATAGCCGAGTTTACTGCTCTGTCCCCGTGGATTTGAAAGTTGCACTTACTTGAATCTACTTTAAGAGCATCATCTATAAAAACATTGAATCACTGTGTTGTACACCTGAAGCTAATATAATATTGTAAATCAACTAGACTCATTTAAAAGAGAGCATTGAATAGTGAGCATTGGGATATAGCTACTTCATGAATGGTGATTTTATATAAAGACTGCTGGTCAGCCTGCTTAGGCAGAAACCACTCTGAGGGTTTCTTCGTGGAGACGGAGTACCATCACTGGCTTCTTTGAAACAAATATGCTGATGCATGTTTGTTATGAAAGAGTTGGAGTTTGGTATATTCATGTTAGAGGATTTAACTCAAATAGCAGGAAAGAATTACTATGGCAAATTCAGTGCAGACACTGTAGATATATTTTTGTAAGACTAGGTTCTACTTGGCCTATTGTAACATAAATGGATGCATGTTCAAGCATTATTAGCTTAAATATACTGTCCTCTTACTTTCTTTGTAAGTTATAAGTCTCTTCATTGTGTTGTTGGGGGCTCAGATGGATATAAAATCATTTGGCTAGAAATCTGTTACTTTTGTGTTGGAGGCTCAAAGGAGACCCAAAAAGAGACGTCTAAAACTACAATAAGTCAGAACAACAATATAATTTTGTTAAATTAGTATGTGTAATTGATGTATGAACCTGATGATTTAGACCTCAATCAAAATATAAGATAAAACAGCTTACAAAATTTGTGGTAGTCCTGGATGATGCTATTAGACTTCCAAGTGGAGATATCAAGGCTTTAACCTACTTCTAGTTAGACTCCAGCACTTTGTTTCTTGGAATCATTTTAGGAACAAGAATCTTAAGGGAACCTAGTGAGTCAAACTACCACAGGATGGTCTGTATTAAATATTTTTTACTGGGGCTTCCCTGGTGGCTCAGATGGTAAAGAATATGACTGGAATGCAGGAGACTCAGGTTTGATCCCTGGGTCGGGAAGATCCACTGAAGAAGAGAATGGCTACCCACTCCAGTATTCTTGCCTGGAGAATTCTATGGATAGAGGAGGCTGGTGGGCTACAATCCATGGGATCACAAAGAGTTGGACACAGCTGAGCGACTAAGACTCAAACTGAGTCAAACAAGTCAGCTTCCCAGATAAAAAGATTTGCTCCAGGTCACAGACTTCAGATTCAGAATTGAACTAAATCCAGACCTGCTGTTAATAAACCACTGAGGGTTGATGGTACCTTTCCTTGGTGCCTGTGATGTTGACAAAAACTGAAAGCTCTGAGACTCCTTCTAACCACTTCTGAATGCACAGCGAAGAGCGTTCTTTGTATGGCATCAAAATTCTAAAACCCATCAGTAATTTTGCATGTTGAGAAAACCTCATCAATTTCCATATTCAGTCTTATGTCCCACTCTCATTTCAAGTATAGTCTTTTTTTTTTCAAGTATAGTCTTATTTTCTAAGTATTACATCATTTGAGGGATTTTACAGGAAAAAAAAAGAACTAAGGAATCTTCAGAAATGACAGAAATATTGGTTTTAAGGAAGGAACTTTAGTTTTTAAAGGCATTGTCAATTTTATAGACTGAGGATATGCTTTACTAAAAAGGAAGGTTTTTACCACACTTCGGTTGGGGTGAACAGGCTATGGTTGCAAAAGGTTCTGAATTCGTGGAGGAAACTGCACATCTTCGTTGAAGGATTTGTCTCTGGAGGAGCGTCAGAATTAGGAGAGGGTGGGGTGTGGTCCAGGATAAGGTATCCTTTGAGAGTCCTTTCTTGATGAATTTCCTCCTCCACCCAGCACTAAGTTCAGGGTTCTTTCTTTTTATGAACTAAAATTTGCCTTGTCCACCTCGTTTCCATTCTAGACATTATTTCTTTTGTTCCCGCATTGCTCCTGTCAAGCATTAACTCCAGCAGTGAAGCCAAAACCAGGGGCTGACTGGCTGCTGTGTGATGCTCACGTTTGCATTGCATGGCAGCCCTTTCTGCTGCTCCACACATATGAGTAATTAACCGTGAGGACCATTTGCAGATGGTTGGGAAACTGAAGTAAACATTGGTTTGATTCACTAGAGATTTTCCAGACTGGCAGAGCCCCACTAAAACTATAGGACTGTTGTTGCCTTTATCCTGTGCCTTTGCTTATATTTTAATACGTTAGCATACTTGAGCCCAGGGTCCACGCTTAGATGAGGATCGTGCGTTTTTCCGCGAACGCTGTAGTCTCCGAGGCAGGCGTGCATGCGCCTGCCCCAGGTTTGGGAGCGGCAGCAGCTTCCTCATGCTCTGTGCCTGTGTGTCTTTGCTGTTGCAGAACCCCATCCCCATGCAGAAGTTGCAGGACATCCAGAGAGCAATGGAGCTGCTGTCTGCGTGCCAGGGCCCCGCCAGGAACGCCCAGGAGGCTGCCAGACACAGGTTCCAGTTTTGGGACACACAGCCGGTGCCCAAGCTCAGTAAGCCTGTCTGCCTCCCCCTGAAAACAAGCTGCGCTAACAACAAACAAGAAACACAAAAAGAGACGTGATTTCACCCACGTGATTTGTTTCAGACCACAGATTCTGAGTCATATTCTTCCTATTAAAGTAAATATTGAGTGATGACATTGGCTTTTAGTAACAACGATTTTAATATAACTCCTGTGCCGACAAAAAATCTAGTGTCCCCACACTTCAAATATTAGTGTATTAAGTATGTGTGTGTATATATATATATATATATACACACACACATAAAAGAGGAGTCTCTCTCCACCACCAGTGTTTTGATTCCAATCTTCATGGAGTGGTTTTTCCTTCTACATAAATTTTTAGCAATCTTACACCTCAGTTATCCCAGAAGACACAGGAAATTTGCCTATTAAATCTTACTGAAATAGAAAATTTTGCTCTGTTTAACAGTAGGATTCTGAACAGTCACCCATGGTGTTAATGATTACCAATGTGATAACACTCCAGTATAAGTGAATCGGGACACCTTGTGAAGGCCTTCATAAGTGCTCTGGGTCATGTCAGAACTTCATTACTAGTCCTCTTCCCACAGTGCCAGGCCTGCTCCATCATATTTCACTTAAACTTCTACCACTTAAGTTTCTGTAAACATAATTCCATTGTTACCCTTTCACATTATGCAAAAAAAAATTGGCCAAAAAGTTCATTCAGCATTTTCCATACCATCTTGTGGAAAGACCGGAATGAACTTTTTGGCCAACCCAATAGATGTTCTAAATGCCATAAAAATGTTTATCAGTGTATTACAGGCTCAACCTGTTGCTTTGACTTATGTTTATATAAAGATAGATCATTGTATAATTTCTATATATTTCTTCAATGATAGTTCCAGATTCAAAATTCAATATATAATATTTAATGTATAATATATAATATTTAATATAAGGGGTTCATTGCCATCCCAAAGTCTTATTAGCCAAGTTATGTACAGATGGCCAGTTTCATGAGTTATAAAGCAGGGAACAATTGTCCTCCATGCCATCAAATCATGGATTTCAAACTTTTTAAAAGGGACTGTTCCTTTCCCACCCACGCCCGCCCTACGCAGCTTCAAAAGCAAGAGCTTCAGAGCGTGAACAGAAGAAGAAAGCAGTGATGTTCGCTTGATTTTAAGTCTATAGAAATTATTTGGTGAGGAAGGAAGACCCTCTAGAATGAATTTACTGGATTTTAAATAACACTGAATTGAGTGACCATTGGCTAAAGGGAATGAAGTTTATTGATCTGAATGTATTGGGTTTGGCTTTTGGGTCATGGCTCAGGGGAGAAGAACGTCTCTTTAGCTGGCACACACCCCACTGCACCACCGCTCTGCTCACCTCATTTTAGCCCCTCCCCTAAATCCTTGCCTGGTTCTCGGGTTCCTAGAACATTCTCTATGCACCTCAATTAAGGCAGAGCCAGGTTAATGGCTGAAGAGGGAACCTGAGGTTCGGGAGGACGTTTGAAAGTCAGGGAGACTATCTCATCCTCTCTCTCCAGAGCCCTATTCCAGTTCAGTCAAACACACCCCGCTGTTTGGAGCTGCTTGAATGGGGTGAGCCCCTGGTGTTGTGTACATCAGTCAAGCCCTAAGAGCAACTCCCCAAGGACCCCAAGGGAGCAGCTGGGCACCTGGCCACTGGGGCTGACCTGAGGGAGCCTGAGGTACTCATGTGGGGTGAGCTACCGACTGGAGATAAGATGAATCTGCAAAGTCAGGGATTAGGAGGAGAGAAAAGAAACCCTTTAGGGTGGGTGCAAACTCTGTGACTTCCCCCTGTAAAAAGGTCTCTGATGGTAAGAACTGTACCTGAAGGTCATTTATTCAGCAGCTGTTGGTTGAGTGTCTGTAGTAAATGCCAGGCACTGGGACACAGACACGGGAGACAGTAGAGAGAAGGCGGGGCAAATGGGGAGCAGGTAGGGGAGGACAGACTTCATGTAGGAAGAGCTTTCGTTGAGGATGCTATGAGGAAGTGATGTGTAACATATCTGAAGAAGCAGCAGTGGCCAGCCATGTGAAAGGCAGGGGACAGCCTTCTGAGCAGAGGCCCAGCCCGAGGGAGGTCGGTGGGGCAGATGTGCTGAGGCTGGCCAGACAGGCAGCAGGCCACGGCCAAGGGTCTGGATTTTATCCCAGCCACACTGGGAGGTTCCAGAGGAGGGACTGGAAAAGGGCACCTTTGTGGAAATCGCTGGAGACACTGATGGCTTGAGCTGTGCTGCCAGCAGCCCAGACGGAAGTAAACAGTCCTGAACTGAATTTTGGATTGTGCTGGGAGGGGTCAGAGGTCACTGCAGCCCTTGCCCCCTGTTTGTTGAAAAACAGAGTTAAAAAGAAAACATCTCTAAGACTGTCATAGCAAACCTACCATTGTCGGCAGTTTTGCTGTATGATTAGTCTCTAGTCTCAGGCTTCAGATTGAGGAATCACTGTTGTTTTCTTGTGTCCAGTTTGCCATCGGATGATGAGTAATTTCTCCTGTAATTGTTCAGATAGCAGTTACTCTCCACCTCCACGTAACTACCCTACTTCCCTCTAGAGATAGCTGAAACAGTACGGTATTTTTAAGGATTATGTGAAACTCAGTAGCCCTAAAGCATGCTTTTGTTTCCCGTAACTGACCATCTGGGGTCGTCAGAATACCTTGTAATTGAATCGTCCCTCTGTTCTTTTTTTTCTCCTTCTCTCTGTGTCTAGATGAAGTAATAACATCTCATGGCGCAATTGAAGCTGATAAAGAAAACGTGCGTCAGGAACCATACTCCCTGCCGCAGGGTTTTATGTGGGACACTTTAGACTTGGGTAACGCCGAAGTGGTGAGTAAAACCTTAGACCTCGGTCCCCGCGTCGGCGTGGGTTGCTGCTGCGTCGGTCCCTAGCGTCACAGGGGGGACGCATGTTTGGTCTCATAGCTCCGGGAGCTGTACACCTTGTTGAATGAGAATTACGTCGAGGATGATGACAACATGTTCCGGTTTGACTATTCACCCGAGTTCCTGCTGTGGTGAGTCTCGTGGCTGCCGGTGCCTGGTGGGGATGCGACTGCCGTGGGGTTGGGCCGTCTCTCTCTGTCCCTGTTTTCTTGGATACTCAGCGTGCTCGTTTTCCTCGCTTGTGTTGACTTCAGGGCTCTGCGTCCCCCAGGCTGGCTCCTTCAGTGGCACTGTGGCGTCAGGGTGTCTTCGAACAAAAAACTGGTGGGATTCATCAGTGCCATCCCTGCAAACATTCGGATCTATGACAGGTACGTGGTGAAGCTTGTCCCTTTTGACGTATTGCTTCTCCAAGAATTGTGGTTAGAATAGGCTTTTGTTTTTCCCAGTGTCTAGCCTGTTTATTTATTTTATTGGAATATAATTGCTTTACAGTGTTCTGTTAGTTTCTGCTGTACAACAGCAGGAATGAGCCATGTGTATACATATCCCCCATCCCACCTCTGTAGGTCGTCACAGAGCTCCGAGCTGAACTCCTTGCGCTATACATTCAGCAGGATCCCACTAGCTATCTGTTTTACACATGGTGGTATATATATGTCAGTCCTGAACTCCCAATTCATCCCACCCCCTCCTTCCCCCACTGTGTCCACGCATCCATATTCTGCATCTGTGCCTCTGTTCCTGCAAATACGTTCATCTGTACCATTTTTCTAGATTCCACATAGAGCGTTAATATACAGTATTTATTTTTCTCTTTCTGACTTACTTCACTCTGTATGACAGGCTCTAGTTTCATCCACATCTCTACAAATGGCTTTTTAAAATGACTGAGTACATGTTGTTGATCGTAGGGGAGGTTGTGCATGTGGGGAGGGCAGAGGTACATGGAAACTACTTGCTGCTCAGTTTTCCTGTGAACCTAAAACTGCTCTAAAAAATAAAGGTTGTGAATTCATTTTAAAAGGTTGTGAACAATAACCAAAAAAAGACAGCTGTATTTTTCTCCATCTTTCTCTGCTTCTCAGTCTCATACATGCACACACAGGTTATGTATATATGTACATAGTAGAAAAAACAAAGATATAAATAGGTACTTCAGATTTGTTTCTGGGGAGGAAATTACTTGGAGGATTTTTTTAAGTCTTTTTATCCATAGGATATGTATGTTCCATTTTTGCCCTGGGTCTCCAGCCTAAAGAGTCAAAGATAGAGCTATGAAATGCGAAGCTTTAGTGCATAGGTCTCTTCACATTTCAGTATACTGGGTGAGTTTATTTACTGCTGAAACGCATCTGATCTCAAGGAATATTTTGTGCCAAATGAAATGCCTGTGTATCTGGAACCAGAGCAGCGAATGGACTTTGAAGCTCTAGAAAATTTATTGTTGCTCAGAAAAGTACCAGCTCTGGCCTTATCGAGGTGCTTCCCAGGGATCCCAGAGATTGCATTATACTCCAAAGCAGTGTCTTATTAGATTCTGCATCTGGGTGACCCAGTTTCTGCTATAGTTGTATACATTACAGGAAAAACGGATATAGAAGCTTTGAGGCACAGCTGATCCAGTTTCTAAACTGAAAACTTTAGAATAGACCCAAGTTCTCAGATTTATTTAGAACAAGAGGGCCTACATCTCCACAACCTAGAGTTTATGATCATTTTGGTGGGGGCAGGTGGGGAATAGTGTGTCAATCTGAATTTGTGACATATCTAAATGGTAGAATATTTTACTTAAATCTAGTGTTAAGGGAGACCTTTCAGTTTCTCATTCTTTGAAATGTTATAGGTGTTACCTTGTTTTTTAAAAATGTTCTCCTCTTACATTGGCTGTACTTTTCAACACCTTTCTTTCTTAGTGTGAAGAAGATGGTCGAAATCAACTTTCTTTGTGTTCATAAGAAATTGAGATCAAAACGAGTAGCCCCCGTGCTGATTCGAGAAATAACCAGAAGAGTGAACCTGGAAGGGGTTTTCCAGGCCGTTTACACTGCCGGAGTGGTTCTTCCAAAGCCAGTGGCCACGTGCAGGTATTAGCATCACACCTGTATCTTGCACATCGCCTTTGCCTAATGCTTCAAGCCTCCTTGCCATGTTGCTACAAGTATTATTCTCCACCTTTGTAACCTGGAAGGATTTTGGCTGACCCATGATGATGATGTTGGTTGGTAGCAGAGATGGAGATACAACCAAGAACCACTAGCCCAGTATTCTTGCAGTAAACCCCACAGCCACATGTATATGAATGATGCTGCGTGTCCGTTTCTGTGTCTCGTCATTTGAAAGGCTAGTTGCTGCCTTGGGAAACCCAGGGCATCAGTTATCAGCAGATGTCCCTGTAGTACCATTTGCTTTCCTTCTCGAACACTCAGTGTTGTACCAGTGCTGCCAGGAACCACTCCAAAAGCTGATAAGCATCTAGCCAGAAAGCCTGAACATACTTGTCTGCTATGAGTGAAAAGAAGGCTAAAGCTCTGTTCTTACTACTTTATTATTTCATCTGCTCTTTTCAAGCTTTCAAAAGTTAATCCAGTAAGAAAAGCATATATCAGATTTTCACTTGACTAACCTGTTTTTAGAGTATCAGAAAGAGTCTGTGTCCCTCTACTACTTTTTTTAAGTTTTTTGTATCTTTTGGCTGCACTGCACAGCGTCTGGGATCTTAGCTCCCCAACCAGGGATTGAAACCTCACCCCCTACATGTTCAGTGCAGAGTCTTAACCATTGGATTGACAGGAAAGTCCTTCCCTCTCTGTTTTTGCACGCGGGTATGCATGCCTGCTCAGTCATGTCCAACCCATTGCTACTTTATGGATCGCAGCCCGCCAGGCTCCTCAGTCCATAGGATTATCCAGACTGGAGTGAATTGCCATTTCCTCCTCCAGGGGATCTTCCCAACTCAGGGACTGAACCTAAGTCTCCTGCATCTTCTGCATTAGCCAGCAGATTCTTTACCACTGAGCCACCTGGGAAGCCACTCCTATTTTTATTGGCTCAAATAAGATGAACTTCAGGAAAAAAAACTTCAAGAGTGTAAAAGATAAACCTGTAAAATGCCTCTCTCCTATTAAATTATTCATAAATAAACAATAAATAAGACTTCACAGGTCTGCAATCATTCATTCTAGTACCTAAGCCAGAATCATTTGAGAAATTCAAACTCATTTCTCAAAAAGTTGTTTTCTTCCATGTGCATTATATAAATGTGAAGGCTACTAACTTAAGGGAGTATTTTCATGTTTTTAAAGTTTTTGGTTTGCCTTCTTAGAATCTGTGATGGTCATTCAATACTTACAAACTGGACATTATCAGTATTTTTCCTGCAGTTTTAAGATTTCTCTATATTAAAAGACATGGAACGTTACCAATGTCAAAGGAGCATAACTGGAACATCATTTCGAGGTAAAAAATGACAGATAAAATAATGACATAGGCAGAGGGCCAGGACCTAGCGCTGCACCAGGCCCTACATGATGTTTGTTCAATACTCCTGTAACAGCTGAGCTGAGACAAAGTGAAAACTTGGAGAGTTAGGAATCAATCAGACCTTAAAGCCTGTATTGTATTTCAGATACTGGCATCGATCACTAAACCCCAGAAAACTGGTAGAAGTGAAATTTTCTCACCTGAGTAGAAATATGACTTTGCAGAGAACCATGAAGCTGTACAGACTTCCAGATGTAAGTAAGAATGACTTGCTGTTTTTTGAAGCTGTTAACAACGGAAATTTTTAACGTAGAAAAGAATTATTTGCAGGAAGCTAAAAACTGGTTCATGTGTCTGAGGATGTGAATATGTAGCTAAAAAGACTTCAGAGAACTTCAGGGCCAGGAAAAAGGAGGAGAGTTCATTTGGAAATACCAGGTAGTTTTTTTTTTTTTTTTTTAAGGCTTTTAAAAGGTCTTCAGTTTGGGGTTGGATGGGGTTGAACTCCAGACTTGCAGGTTTTTAAATTTTGAGCACTTATATTCTATTTAGGAAGAGGAAGAAAAGTTCCAGCTTCTGATGGCTTCTTAGCACGTGGAATTAAGGAATAAGGTTTAAAAGAGACACCCGGGGAGAGGAAATAATGTCTTATTAAATTAGCATTGTTTTAAACTAGAAACTTCCCAGTGTGAAAAGTTGTCCCTTAATAAGGGAAAATTTAAATGTGCTTACCAGTTTGGGCTTTTATTTGGGGCTTAGATGGTAAATGAGTTCTCTGTCACTCCATAACAAACTACCACAAAAGTAGAAGCTAAAATCAACAAATGTGCTATCTCTTGGGTTCTGTGGGTCAGGAATCAAGGCACAGCTTAGCTGAGGTCTTTGCTTCAGGGTTTCTTGTGAAGCTGTCATCAAGGCATCAGCCAGGGTCAGGGTCTCGTCTGAAAACTTGACTAGGGATGGATCCGCTTTCAAGCTCATGTGGCTGTTGGAAGCCTTGAGTTCCTGGTGGGCAGCTGGACTGGGGTCCTCTGTTCCTTGCTGGCTGTCTGCCTGAGGCTGCTTCAGCTCCTTGTCGGTGGGGGTTCTCTGAAGGGCAGATCACGATACACGGCAGCTTATTTCATCAAAGCCGATGAGGAGAGTCTACAGAGAGCATCTGCTAGCAAGATGGAAGTTAGAACCCTGTGTAGTCAATTCACAAATGAAATCACTGCTGCCATATGTCAGTGGTCCCACCTACACTCAAGATAAGTGGATGGTGTGGGCGTGAACTCCAGTGAAGGTGGGCGGGCATCACTGGGGCCATCTTGGAATCTGTCTGCCACAGATGGGATCTGTAGTGTGAAGTTTTGATTTCATCTGAGCTGTTCTTTGTTTTAGGTTGTAGCAGGTACTTCAGCTCAACTGAGGGATTCACATAGAGTGTAGCCATGTTCCTCTAAACAAGGCAAGGAGGGACTTCCTCTGTGGAGGGTGTGGCCAACTCCAGCTCCTTTTGCCTTGGACCAGTTGTATGTTTACCAGATGCACGTGATCAGTGGCTGCACAGATTGAAGTCTTTCTTTCATTGACAGAATCAACGAATTTCTGACTTAGGCAAAATTTCATAAGGAGACATGGAGATGAAGGAAACCAGGTGTTCCGGGGCTTCACATGTGGCAGAGGGACCAGAAGGCACGGTCTTCCTTCTGTCTAAGCTGCAGTTGCAGACAGTGGGGCTTAAACTTGTGAACTCACTGCCTGTCTGTGAGGCCAAGGACAGAGGGAGGAACATACAGGGAAATAAAAAGTACAGGTGACATAAAGAGGGAGGGTCCACGTGTCCTGGGAAAGGAGGACCAGGGCCCCTCAAGCTGGGGTGACAGACATGAAGACTCTGGAAAATGCCCTGAGGGGTCACACCATCATTATGACCATCAGGATTTACTGATCAACTAGAAGTAATTTCTGCTAATGGCCAAATCCCAGAGACACTGAGAAGGGTGGGGTCCCATAGGGGCACAAATGGCTGTGAGAAAAAAGGGCACTGGAGGGGCATAGCGCACAGCTGAGACAAGACACAGCTGATGCTCAGCGTCCTCCTGGCCCAGTGTCAGATGCTTTGCTATCTACAAGTTAAAATAAGAACTTGAAGCAAGCCTCCTTTTCCCACTGGGGCAAATGCTATTCTACCTTGGTCTCCCCTGATTTCAGTTTCTCGAACCTAACTCTGTTTAGCTTGTGTGTAAGAAAAGCACCTCCTTGTCTGTATAGTCACCTGAAGTGGAGTGACGCATAAGGAAATTTAGTAGCTGTCATTGGTTTATCTGGGATGATTAGAGTTCGAGGTGCTGAAAGTTATTTTTGACTTGACCTTGTCCATTGGCCTCTGTATTCTTGCACAAGCATCCATCAACTCACAGGTAACCAAGTTTTGAAAGGTTGGTGATAAATTGCTGGTCGGACAATGGTGGTGAAAGCAGACTCTGGCAGTTTGGTTGCAGTTAACTTGGTTACAGAAGAGCATGCCTCTTCCAGCCATGGTGCTGTGGTGACTGCCTTTTTTCTTCCACGATAAGTCCAAGCTGAGAAAGTGCTGTCACATATATTAGCATATTCTCCCAACCACCTTCTGAATTTGGTATTCTTACCCTATTGTACAGATGCAAAGACCGAGGCTTGTGAACGTTCTCCAAACAGCTCTTATTGGCTTGTTCTAGCCTCCTTTACTCTTTTTAAGTCATAAGGAAGGAAAGAAAACTAAAGAGTAAATTAATTAAAAAAAGAGAGAGAGAGAAGGTAGAAGAGATGCAAGTAGAGACATTGAAAAATTGGAAGGTGCCACCAGCAGCAACCTTGGTGTTGGGCTCCTGGCTTAGAAGCTGGTTGAGGCAGCAACAGCCAGACCACCTCCTTCTCTCCCTGGGCCAGACAGTCACATCGTTGAGAACATTTTTGTATTATGAAGTGTAGAGATGAGCCTTACTGAACACAACTTTTTTGTTCAGCCTCATTTTCTCATTTGTTGTAACCATTTCAGCTCACCATGCCAGCTTTATGTGTTGATCATAGACTTATACACGTTAACATTGATTATGGCCGACGTTACACCAAACAGTTAATATCTATAACCTCATTTATTATTCACACGATCAGAGGGAGCAGGTTATTGTCCCCAGTCACAGAAGAGAATGTTGAGACACAGATTGATTTGCTCAGAGTCTTTCAGTCAGGACAGAACCATCCCTGCCAGCTCATGTCATTAGCTACCATTACCAACGAGACTGAGATTTTCCCGAGAGGAACAGTTTCCTGCCCTTTCAATGTTGGTTTTGTTTTTTTTCAATTGGAGTATAGTTGCTTTACAGTGAATGTCAGTTTGTTTTTAATTTGGTGTTGAGAATTTCCAAACAATGTTGGACTTTTTTTTTTTTTTTTTTTTGGTCAGTGCTTTTCAAGGTGAAGGAATTTTTTTTTTAATGTGGGCCATTTTTTTGGTCTTTATTAAGTTTGTTAAAATATTGGTTTTGTTTTTTTTTTTTTACTGTTTTATTTTTTGACCACAAGGCATGTGGGATTTTAGCTCCCAGATCAGTGATGAAACCTGCACCCCCTAGGGGCATTGGAAGCTCAGAGTATTAACCACCAGACCACCAGGGAAGTCCCAAGGTAAAGAAATTTGAAGTAGATAAAAAGCAGGAGTCAGGTTACTCTCCCAGCATCTTTACATTGTGTTGCAAGACGTGTATGCGTATGAAGCCATGCTAAAACACAGATATTCTTGGTTTAGTAATTGTAGGTTTTTTTGTTTTTTTAGTGTGTAATGTCCTACTGCTCCTTCTTAAATTAAAAAAAAAATCCATAATCAAGGCTTGCATCTCTACTCTGGAATCTTGGCTCCAAATCAGTTATACCACATAGCTTGATGGAGAACAGCACTGCTTCTGTTTTTTAATAGGACTCTGAGCTTGATTTCCTTATATACTTAAAAGCAAATTTTATATAGATTTCAGTGTATGGAGAGTCTGATGGGTAATGCATATTAGTTCGATCATGGTAAAGTAGCTCTGATTCAGAAATAGAGTTTGCTTATGAAATTTAAGGTTTTCTCAGTTAAGTTACTGGAAATTTTTTTTTGCTTTTTATTGAAATCTCAGAAAACATTGCCATCTGACTCTTTCAGATTATGCCAAAGCTTAAACTTTTACCTAGGCATGACATTTCCTTCCTCCTCTTCCTGAAAACAACAGTTATTATATAAAATAGAATTATTTTTTTGGACACACTCTGCAGATTGCAGTATCTCAGTTCCCTGATCAGGGATTAAACACAGGCCACAGCAGTGAAAGCCCAGAATCCTAACCACTAGGCCACCAGGGAACCCCCTAGAATATAATTTTATGTATTAAAATTTGTGTCATGCTTCAGTAGATTTCCTGGAGAGGATGTGACTTTATGATGTTAGAAAGAAACAAGCTTAGGTTTTGAGATACATAAGCCATTGTTGATCAGCAAAAGCATATATTCTTCCCCTGTTTCTAGGACCTTTTATGTTTCATAATTGGATGTAGTCTGATGTTGCCTTCTGCTTTAACTTAGCTCCTGTAAAAACTTGTTTGAAGTGCTTGAAAACTGCCAAGTTTATATACTTTCTCACTGCGCATTTGCCAAAATAACTGTTTCACTGAGTCCTCCTTATCTAAATTCTATTACCCATTTTCCTGACCTTCAGAGACTGAGGTAGCAGTTCTCAAAGTGTGGTCCAGAGACCCCAGGAACTTTGCAGAGCACTTTGGGGGTGCCTGTGAAGTCAGTTTTTTAGAATAATACAAAAATAATTTGTATCTTTCATTATCTTACAAGTGTACTGTGCAGTCTTCCAGAGGTTAAATGGAATGTGAGCTTATAATATTCTTTGGCTTTAAAATTTCAAATTTAATTTCTAATACAATAAATACAGATAAATATAATCCATGTATCAGATATGCAGATGACACCACCCTTATGGCAGAAAGTGAAGAAGAGCTAAAGAACCTCTTGATTAAAGTGAAAGAGGAGAGTGAAAAAGTTGGCTTAAAGCTTAACATTCAGAAAACTAAGATCATGGCATCTGGTTCCATCACTTCATGGCAAATAGATGGGGAAACAGTGGAAATAGTGTCTGACTTTATTTTTGGGGGCTCCAAAATCACTGCAGACGGTGACTGCAGCCATGAAATTAAAAGACGCTTGCTCCTTGGAAGGAAAGTTATGACCAACCTAGATAGCGTATTAAAAAGCAGAGACATTACTTTGCCGACAAAGGTCCATCTAGTCAAGGCTATGGTTTTTCCAGTGGTCATGTATGGATGTGAGAGTTGGACTGTGAAGAAAGCTGAGTGCCAAAGAATTGATGCTTTTGAACTGTGGTGTTGGAGAAGACTCTTGAGAGTCCCTTGGACTGCAAGGAGATCCAACCAGTCCATCCTAAAGGAGATCAGTCCTGGGTGTTCATTGGAAGGACTGATGCTGAAGCTGAAACTCCAGTACTTTGGCCACCTGATGTGAAGAGCTGACTCATTTGAAAAGGCCCTGATGCTGGGAAAGATTGGGGGCAGGAGGAGAAGGGGACGACAGAGGATGAGGTGGTTGGATGGCATCACTGACTCGATGGACATGGGTTTGGGTGGCCTCCGGGAGTTGGTGATGGACAGAGAGGCCTGGCGTGCTGCGGTTCATGGGGTCGCAGAGAGTCAGACACGACTGAGTGACTGAACTGTACTGAACTGATAACCCATGTAAACAAAGCTCTTTGGGAGTATTAAATAATTTTTAAGACCATAACAAAGTTCCAGACCAAAATCTTTGAGAACTTCAGCTTTAAGGATGTCTACCAGACAAAAAAAAGATTTTGATTTAGTGATTTCACGATATGAATGTTCAATGAATAAGAATTGTGCTGCAAAAGCATATTTTGCTCCAAAAAGGAGTTGGCAAGCTTTATTCCTCATTTCTGAATGCTCTTTATGAACAGAGAGGATGTATCCTGTTACTATCATGAGATAATCTTATTCTTTGAAGCTCATTTTATTTCATTTCATTTATTTTGAGCTGTGGCATGCAGGATCTTAGTTCCCCAACCGAGGATCAAACCTGTGCCCCATGCAGTGGAAGCACAGAGTCTTAACCACTGGACCGCAAGGGAAGTCTTGATATCACTGATTGTTATTGAATCAGGAACAAATGCAAAAACAGTCTAATGTTGAGAAAGGCTATTTAAAATTTATCAAGGTCATCCTCATAGCAGAAAATAACCTTTTCAAATGACTGCGGTATACATGCAGTATGGTTTGGTCTTCCTACCAGCATTTCAAAATGTATATTTATCTCATTTAACACCATTTAGCAATCACATAGGTTTCCCTCTTCCCACAAATTGCAGCGTAGAAATGCTCTAAATACCTAAAATTGGCTTACAGAAACAACAAGGAAAATACTGGTTTCATGCCTGGCTTGCACCTGAATGCCAGGCCATAGAAATGCCATCTCTTCAGAGCTGACAGTGACTTTCTTCCATGTCTGCAGCCTTCACCTCACCCTATTGGGTAAATGATTGTGCTAAAAACCTAAGAATTCATGCATTTATTCATTCATTCAACACCTATTCAAGCCATTATAAACTGTGGAAAATTCTGAAAGAGATGGGAATACCAGACCACCTGACCTGCCTCTTGAGAAACCTATATGCAGGTCAGGAAGCAACAGTTAGAACTGGACATGGAACAACAGACTGGTTCCAAATAGAAAAGGGAGTATGTCAAGGCTATATATTGTCACCCTGGTTATTTAACTTATATGCAGAGTACATCATGAGAAACGCTGGGCTGGAAGAAGCACAAGCTGGAATCAAGATTGCCAGGAGAAATATCAATAACCTCAGATATGCAGATGACACCACCCTTATGGCAGAAAGTGAAGAGGAACTAAAAAGCCTCTTGATGAAAGTGAAACAGGAGAGTGAAAAAGTTGGCTTAAAGCTTAACATTCAGAAAACTAAGATCATGGCATCTGGTCCCATCACTTCATGGCAAATAGATGGGGAAACAGTGGAAACAGTGTCTGACTTTATTTTGGGGGGCTCCAAAATCACTGCAGACGGTGACTGCAGCCATGAAATTAAAAGACGCTTGCTCCTTGGAAGGAAAGTTATGACCAACCTAGATAGTGTATTAAAAAACAGAGACATTACTTTGCCAACAAAGGTTCATCTAATCAAGGCTATGGTTTTTCCAGTGGTCATGTATGGATGTGAGAGTTGGACTGTGAAGAAAGCTGAGTGCCAGAGAATTGATGCTTTTGAACTGTGGTGTTGGAGAAGACTCTTGAGAGTCCCTTGGACTGCAAGCAGACCCAACCAGTCCATCCTAAAGGAGATCAGTCCTGGGTGTTCATTGGAAGGACTGATGTTGAAGCTGAAACTCCAATACTTTGGCCACCTGATGCGAAGAGTTGACTCATTGGAAAAGACCCTGATGCTGGGAAAGATTGGGGGCAAGAGGAGAAGGGGACAACAGAGGATGAGATGGCTGGATGGCATCACCAACTTGATGGACATGAGTTTGGGTAAACTCCAGGAGTTGGTGATGGACAGGGAGGCCTGGCGTGGTACAATTCATGGGGTCGCAAAGAGTCAGACACGACTGAGTGACTGAACTAAACTGAAGCCTTAGATGAAAGCTGGGACCTGGAGATTTCAGGTCCTTTGGCTTTGTTGTTGTTTAGTTGTTAAGTCGTGTCCAAATCTTTTGTGACTTCATGGACTATACCCCACCAGGCTCCTCTGTCCATGGATTTCCCAGTCAAGAATACTGGAATGGGTTGCCATTTCCTTCTCCAGGGGATCTTCCCAACCCAGGGATCAAATCCATGTCTCCTGCATTGACAGGTGGATTCTTTACCACTAGCTACCTGGGAAGCCCCTCTTTGGCTTTGAGATCCACAGAAATGCTGGAAGTCTGAGTGTTCTATTAAATGTTAAGGACTTAAGTTCTCTTAATTTTAGAGTATTAAACTATTTTAGGTTCATTATGGTGTCTTTACAGATTCTGTAAATCATAACTGAGTAACACATAGTAAATACTCAGCTAAGGACTGTTGGGTCTGTAAATACAGAGAACACCTCTCCCGTCTCTTCCCAACATGAATCAGTAATTGACCAGCATTCCTTGTCACAGAACCGTAGTAACCTCAACAGGACTACTGACATCCATCAGAGCCGGCATTCAAGATGAAAACCCATTTTCCACCTTGGTCTTCTGTAACCACCACTCTGGGGGCATGCAGGAATTGTGATGATCTAACCTTAGAGGCAGTTTCTAATTTAAAAGTGCTCAGAAATAATTTAGGACAGATTAGGTAGAATAGGAGTATTTATATACAAGTTATTTGCCACTTAAAAATTTACCCAGTATTTCTTCAAGGAAAAAAAAAGTATCAAGTTAACTAGAAGAACTGAAGTTGTTTTTGTAGTCAGTCACTCAGTTGTATCCGACTCTTTGCAACCCCATGTACTGCAGCATGCCAGGCTTACCTATCCATTACCAACTCCCGGAGCTTGCTCAAACTCATTTGTAAGTATTAGAGTTTTGTCTTTGTACAGACAAGGAATGTAGTGAGTTTTCTCACTTCTGGTATCAAGTGTCCTGGTATCTGGACACTTCTTATAGTTGACGTCTTAAGCTCTTTTAAGGATAAGTACTTGAACAAATAAATCCAGATGGGGCCGTGTCCCGACCTTTGAGGGGACACGGTCATTCCTATTTGTTGTTTTTGTTCAGTCACTCAGTTGTGTCTGACTCTCTGCAACCCCGTGGGCTGCAGCACGTCGCCAGGCTTCCCTGTCCTTCACGATCTCCCGGAGTTTGTTCAAACTCATGTCCATTGAGTCGATGATGCCATCCAACCCTATGGCCTTATGTAAAAACTGTAACTTATGAGATGAAGGATTCAGATGCGTATTATGATCACCTTTTAATCAAAAGATGGCATGAGAGACTAGGGCCAGTACTTGGCAACTAGCCATTCGTTCTTGGTAACTAAAATGCCTGCCTTCCCATATTGACTGGTATGATTGACTTTTCTTTCATTTTTGTTGCTCATGAGAACAAAATAGCTACATCTTATTCATGGGCTATTGGACAAAATGAGTTTCTCAGCCATTCTCAACTGTGTTTTCAAAATGTCAAACATGGCAGTCTTACAGCATGCTACTCCAGAACACATGCTGGGATTGTTTTGCCCTGTTACATACGCCAGCAGGCCCCGGCTTTTTGTTCCTAGGGACTAGTTTCATGGAAGGTAATTTTTCCACAGATAGGGGTAGGGGGTGGGTGGTTTCAGGATGATTCGAGTACATTATATTTATTGTGCAGTTTATTTCTATTATTATTACATCAGCTCCACCTCAGATCATCAGGCATTAGATCTCAGAGCTGTTTAATTTCTTGGCATGGGTATATAGGTGAATTTGTAGTGTTCCTGTTGGTTTTGTTTGGGTCATAGGCAATACTAACCAAAGACCTGGTACACAAAAATAGGATAGAACACATTGTGTAGCTTATGTGCTAAACTAGTGCATCTCAAGCTTTGTGTGTATACAAATCACCAGAGGATTTTGTGAAATTGTTCATTCTGACCTGATAGATCTGGGGCAGGCCCAAGATTCTGCATTTCTAATAAGCTGCCCTGGGATGCTGATAATGTTGGTCTGGGGACCACACTGGCTCCAAGTTTGTTTAGTCCTCCTATTTAAACCTCCCCATTGGTTTTGTGTTCACTCCAACAGGTTACAAAAACTTCAGGCTTGAGGCCAATGGAACCAAGAGATATCAAAGCTGTTCAAGAACTAACTAACACATACCTGAAGCAGTTTCATCTAGCCCCGGTGATGGATGAAGAGGAAGTAGCCCACTGGTTCCTCCCTCAAGAGCACATCATTGACACTTTTGTAGTGGAGGTAAAGATAAGGTGATAAGATAGTACAGAAAAGTATGCAAATACTATGCGATTGAGTCCATTTTCCAGAAAGATCCTAGAGTACCCATCTCCTTCCTCTCTGTCCATGACTCACTGCTTCTATACCAGGTTTCTGTTCACTCTCTTAGAACAGCTGTTCTTACAGTTTGCATTCCTGGCACAAGGGCACACTTTTAGTACTTAATAATGGGAAATCAGGATACTGCTCTGGTGTTCCTTGTGTGATTAATTGTTTCTCTCAGTTTTGAAAAGGCCAGTTTGGATGACCTCGTTAGAGATGAATGTGTCTCAAAGTTTAATACTGTTTTGCTTTGTAAAACTGGTTGGAATTGAACTGCCTTTGTTCAAGATGGCATAATTCAATCACTTCATTCAACCTTGTCTTCTTGATTTGTTAAAGTTTTTCTATAGGCTGAATACTAATACGTTGTACTGTGGTCCATTTCTGCATTCTCCGTTCTATTCCGTTGATCTCTGTCTGTTCCCCTACCAATATCACACTGTCTTAATTAATCTATAGCTCTATAGTAAGCCTTGATATCAGGTAGAGTGATTCCTCCCATTTCATTTTTGTCAAGATTGTTTTAGCTAATGTAGTTCCTTTGCTTTTGCATATAAATTTTAGAGTAAGTTTGTCTTAATTTATGAAAAACCTTGCCAGGATTGTTATAATAATTACATGATATTTAGCAGGATTACATTAATTTAGGGAGAATTAACATGTCTTCCAATCCATGAACATGGTATGTCTCTGTTTATTTAGGTCTTTTAAATTTTATTTTATCAGCAGTCTTTAATTTTCAGCATCCAGATCCTATACTTTTAAGTTCCGTTTTCCACATATTCCTTGTTAGTATGTAGAAATGTAATTAGTTTTTCTGTGATGCTCCTGTATCCTGCAACCTTGCTGAAATCATATATTAGTTCCAGGAGTTTATTTGGAGATTTCTTGGGATTTTTACATGGATAATTGTGTCATCTACAAATAGAATGTTTTACTTCTTCCCTTCCCATCTGTATGCCTTTTCTTTCTTTCTCTTGCCTTATTGCAGGGGCTAGATCTTTTGGGACTTCATTGCATAAGAGTGGTGAAGGTTGACATCTTTGGCTTGTTCCTGATATTAGGGGAGGAGTCTTACCCCATGATACTAGCAGTCAGTTTTTCATGGATGCTCCTTATCAATGTGAGAAAATTTCCAGCTTGCTGAGAGTTCTCATCATAAATGGATGTTGGATTTTGCCCAGTGCCTTTTCTGCTTCAGTTGATATAATCATACGGTTTTTCTTAGTCTGTTGATATGGTATATTCATTTACTTACTTTCAAATGTTTGACCACCTCACATACCTAGGAAAATTACCCTCTTGGTTATTGTGTATAATTCTTTTTGTACATTATTGGATTTGGAGTGCTAATATTTCATTGAGTATTTCCTGAGTTCATGAAAGATACTGATCTGCAGTTTCTTTTTTTTACTGTGTTTGGTTTCCATATCAGGAAACCACTGACTTCATAAGAGGAGTTGGGAAGTGTGACCTCCTCTTCTATTTTCTAGAAGAAATTGTATAGAATTGGTGTTAATTCCTTAAATGTTTGCTAGAATTCTCCAGTTGAACCCATCTAACTTTAGAAAATTCTTTCGCATTGTCTGTTAATACAGGCAGACCTCATCTTATCACCCTTTGTTTTATTATACTAGTCAGATAGTGCATTTTTAACAAATTAACAGTTTATGGTAACCCTGTTGGTGCCATTTTTTCCAACAGCATTTGCTTACTTTGTCTCTCAGTAATTTTGGTAATTCTTGCAATATTTCAAACTTTTTCATTATGATCATATGTGTTATGGTGATCTTTGATGTTACTGCTTCGAAGTTCAAATGATGATTAGCATTTTATAGCAATAAAGTCTTATTTTAGCATTTTATAGCAATAAAGTATTTTTTAAAGTATTTTAAAATTAAGGTATGTATATTGTTTTCTAGACTTAATGCTGTTGCACACTAATAGACTACAGTATAGTGCAAACAGAACTTGCATATAAACTGGGAAAAGAAAAAAATTCACGGGACTTACTTTATTGCATATTTGCTTTATTGAGGGGGTCTGGAACCAAACATGCAATATTTCCAAGGTGTGCCTGTATAGCCACTCCTACTTTTTTCAAATTCATGTTTGCATGATCTATCTGTTTCAGTCCTTTTACTTTCAACCCATCTATGTCATTGAATTTGAAGTGATATTTGGACCACGTTTCCTTATGTATTCTGCAGAATTTCTTCTGATTGGTGTATTTTGACTACATCTGATGATAATTGATAGATTAGAGCTTAAGTCTTCCGTATTATAAAATATTTTGTTTCTTCTGGCTGTTGTCCCTCTCCTTTTCCTTGCCTGCCTATCCACCATTTTTGGATCTGTCTTGATTTATTTACAGTGCATTTGAGTATATTTGTATAGGTCTTATCTGAGTATGGAGCTTCCCAGTGGTAAAAAAAAAAATTCATCTGCAAATGCAGGAGATATAAGAGATGCGGGTTAGATCCCTGTATTGGGGAGAAATCCCCTGGAGAAGGAAATGGCAACCCACTCCAGTACTCTTGCCTGGAAAATTCCATGGACAGAGGAGCCTGGTAGGCTACGGTCCATGGGGTCCCAAAGAGTTGGACACGACTGACTTCACTCTAGTATTCCTGCCTGGAAAATTCCACAGAGGAGCCTGGTGGGCCACATTGATGGGGTCACAAAGAGTGCTTGTGCTTGAACACAAGCAAGCAAGCATTTGAGTATTATAGTATATAGATATAAATTATCAGTCCTCTGGTATCCACGTTGTACCACTTCAAGTGATTTTACTTCCATTTAGGTCTCTTTACTATCTCAAAGTTTAAATATCACCATCTTGAGTATCTTGAGATTTCCTTTCTATTTGAAGGATGTTCTTTGGCCACTGTTAAAGTCTGCTGGCAACGAATTCTTCTAGTTTTCATTTGTCTGAGAATGTCGTTACTTGCCCTTCTTTCCTGAAGGAAGCTTTACCAGATACAGAGTTCACAATTGATCGTTCTTTTCATTCAGCTCTTGAGCCACTTGCTTCTGGCCTCAGTGGTTTCAGGTGAGCAGCCTACTGTCATTTGAATTAGTATTTCCTTGTAGGTAATGAGTTGTTTTCCTGTGGCTACTTTTAAGATCTCTGTCTTTAACTTTGGGAAATTTTATTATGATGTGGATTTCTTTTGGCTCATCCTCTTAGAGTTCACTTGGCTTCTTGAATCTTCTTAAATCTCTGCCAACTCTGGGAAGTTTTCAGTCATTGTCTCTTTCAGCCCCGCATTTTCTTCTTTCCTTCTGGGTCTCCAGTGATATGAATGGTGAATCTTTTATTGCTGCCTCACAGATCCCTGAGGCTTAGTTTTTTTTTCAGTCTGTTTTCTCTCTCTTGTTTCAGATTGGGTAAATTCTGCTGGATTCTTCAAGTTCAGTGATTCTATCATGTCATCTCCACTCGGCTACTGAGACCATTCAGTGATTTTTTTTTCCTCTAATTTCTGCTATGGTATTTTAAAATCCTTAACAAAGCAGAAAATCTAAGCCTTTAAGTCATCTCTAATACTTGAGCTGCTAATACAGCACAGTAAAGAATCAGTTTAGCTTAACATTTAATTTTTAATATCTGAAAAAAAGGATTAATGAATCAGAAGCACTCAAAAAGCGAATAAATCCACCCCTCTGGAAATTTCTGCTAAAACAAAAGCTAGCAATGACATATGTGGTCTAGCCTCTGCAGCTCTGTCATTCAAATATAGCTTGAATTCTATGCAGACTTTCCTAGTTACCACAGCTAACTGAAACAACCCAAACAATATTGACTAATTTCTTGTACTGGAGGGTATACCAGTGATGGTGAACAAACACCATCTTTTTTGCATCCCTTTTGATATCTGATAGCTTCAGATTTTCTCAGTCATTCATATACGTATACTTTGGTGCAGAACCAATGCCTTTTACAAGCTTCTAAAAAAAAAAAAACAACTCCCAAACTCTATCCCGCTTCACTTTAAGCTGATAAAATCCCTGCTTTGTGCAAAGAAGATGTTAGATGTTACACAGTATCCTTGAGTTGGAAAAGGTAGCATCCTGATCCTTAATGCTCTTATTCCTGCAAAAACAATGAATTGACTTTTATCACTGTCCCTGCAAGTCTGTAGTCAATCAGAGAGAAGCATTCCTTCTTAAGAACTTGCTACCAGGCACCAGTGAGCACTTAGGCTGAAGCACAGCTCCACGCCCTTCCCTGGCCGCTGCCTGGCGCGCAGTGAGGGCCCCATGTCAGACCTGGAGGATGGAGCAGGAGCAGTTGCTCTCCATTCTGATGGAAAGCCATGGTGCAAGTCAGAAATTATGAAGTGAGCTTAAGTGCCTGGATGACACTTGTTCGAGGAGATGTTTATCTGACGTTACCTTTGTTCTTTAGAACTCCAGTGGTAAACTAACTGACTTCCTGAGCTTCTACACACTCCCCTCCACAGTCATGCACCACCCGGCTCACAAGAGCCTCAAAGCTGCCTACTCCTTCTACAACATCCACACGGAGACACCCCTGCTGGACCTCATGAGCGACGCGCTGGTCATCGCCAAGCTGGTAGGTGCCTCACTCCTGGCTGTCCTGTGTGCGTCTCCAGATGTGTATGTAAATATCTTGTATTTTCTTCCACACAGGGGAATTCATTTGAGATATTTTACTGTTGCCCATCAGTCCAAAGAATTATTTTGATAAGAGGTTTATTTAAAAAACTTTAGTGACTGTTTTCATCATCAGCTTATTGTAACTTAACCAAAAAGACATTTTGTACAAATCAGAAACTTTTAACCCTTATATAAAAGTACATGGGACTTTCCTGGTGGTCCTATGATTAAGACTTCGTTTTCTAGAGCAGAGGATGCAGGTTTGATCCCTGGTCAGGGAGCTAAGATCCCCCATGACTTGCGGCCAAAAAAACAAAACATAAAACTGAAGCAATATTTTAACGAATTCAATAAAGACTTTTAAAAGTCTTTATAAAAAAATCTTAAAAAAAATAAAAAACATAAAATTTATAATATAAGGAATATAAGAAAGTTACATGATCCCTTTATACAGGCATATACCTTGGAGATATTGTGGGTTCAGTTCCAGATGATTCTGGATCACTTCAATTAAGCAAGAATTGTGATAAAGTGAGCCACATGAATTTTTGGTGTCCTAGTGCATATAAAAAAAAAAAATTCAAAAGTTATCTTCACACAATAGTGTGGTCTGTTAAGTGTGTGGTAGTAACTAAATAACTTAGAGATCTTAATTTTAAGTATTTTGTTCCTGAAAAAAAATGCTATCCACCATCTGAGTTATATTCAGTTATATTCACCATCAGTGAGTTATATTCTTAACATCAGAGATCACAGATCACTATAACAACTATAATAATCATGAAAGAGTTTGAAGTATTACAATAATTACCAGAATGGAACAGAGACATGAAGTGAGCAGATTCAATTGGAAAAATGGCCCTGACAGACTTGCTTAGTGCAGGGTGGCCACAGATCATCAATTTGTAAAAAACACAGAATCTGTGAAACACAATAAAATGAGATCTGTCTGTATGGGGAAAATGTGAGTGTTGTGTTACAGTGAATAACTGGCAGTAGCAAGTTTTTTTATTCAACTAAATAGTCTGTGAATTTTAAAATTAAGAAACTTAATAAAATTATTAAGAGGATTTAAAACGAAAAGAATTAAATTCAAAATGTGCCTTAATGGATTTGCATTATTTTTTACTTCCTCAGTATAGTAGTTAGGATGATTGTTAAATTCTTGCTACAAATAAAAGATTTTCTTTTCAGAGGTAACAAAAATCAGCAGATGTAAATATTTGGATATAAGTACTGAATGAGAAAATACTGCCTGTGAGAAATTGAGAGCTACACATCAAAAGTGTTTTCCTTGTATTCTTCTAGTATTTGATCATTGGAAACGTTTTTTTTTTAATCTATTAGCAGTGGACCCCAAAATCAGCATTTGCCTTTGATTCTTTGATCTTGTAGCTCATTTTCAACTACCTCCCCCCAAAAAGGCCAGTAATAAGTTATTTAAAGTAAAACCCCTGAGAAATAGAAATGTAGGTACTTCATCTGTGTCACATTTTGCATAGTATTAACTAGTATTTTTTTATTCTGTTTTTACTATTAAAATGTAACTAAATTTATTTCCCAGTATTAGCCCAAGACAAATACACAATTTCAAGTCTTTACAGGTTTGGTTTCTTGGCTGTAGGTTCAGATAAGTCAGAACTTAGAAAGGCCAGTAACTAACAGTTCTGGTGATGGGGCCATCTAGACAACTGTTTCCTTCAAAAACTGGGGCAAAACATTTCTTGAAACCTTAATATTTTTTGTCACTATGAGCCATCAGACTGTATTTTTTGATTCAGCATTTCTGGAAAATCTTGTTGATTCCATCATATTCACTGCTTGCTAGTTTAATAAGATAGTTGTGACCTGAATTATTAACGCATAGTATATATTGCAGACATTAAACTTCATTATAAATGCATATCAATTCAAGCTACTAGTGGGAGAATGAAATGTTATACTGAAATACATCATATACAAAATACTCTAAACTTTTAATGCTTTAAACATTTAAAAAAATTTTTTACATTGACAGAAAGGATTTGATGTATTCAATGCACTAGATTTGATGGAAAATAAGACATTCTTGGAAAAACTCAAGTTTGGCATAGGCGATGGCAATTTACAGTATTACTTGTACAACTGGAGGTGTCCAGGGACAGAGTCTGAAAAGGTGAGTGAAGTTGATGAGTCTTTGTAAACTTGATAAACTTAACCTGCAAAACCTCATACTTGCTTCTCATCAGAGTGTTGAGAGGTTTTTAGTTTTTTTGTTTTTAGTAGCTTTTTTAAAATATACATCTATGGGACTTCCCTCGCAGTCCAGTGGTTAAGGCTCCGCACTTCCATGGCAGAAGGCAGAGGTTCAATCCTTGGTCGGGGAACTAAGATCCCACATGCCAAAAAAAAAAATTTAATAATAAAAAATAAAAGAATAAAATAAAAATATACATCTATTATACTACATTATGATTTTTCTTTCTCACTTGTGTTTACTATTCCATCTTTTCCCTCCCTTTAGGTTGGACTCGTATTACAGTAGATGGATATTTCTGTTGATATTTCTAGAACTCTGACATCATCATTTGTTAATACCCTAGTTAAGGATTCCTGGAACTGCCATTCCAAAGAAGAATAAAAGCACAACTTAAGTGACATCGAAGTGTCAGTAACAGAAGAGATGGAAAAGCATCCATTTGTGACCACACATGTAGAACACATTTCTAGCTGACATTAACATCCATCCTTTTTTCCCACTGTTGACCCATTTGTAGGGGGGATGCAAAGAGGGTAAAGAGCACATTCCTCTGGTTTTCGGCCTTCTGGCTGTCTCTTGATGAAGACGAAGGTGTTTCTTCCTCTCTCTAGAAAAGGGACTCCTTTTCTATGAACTGAACAGAAGTCACGGAATTGTGTCAGAAAATCTTTGCCACTGTGTGGAGATAAACTGCTGCTTTTCTGTTTATGAAGTGATGGTCTGTGGATCCACGTAGCAGAATGAGGGAGCCACTCGGAAACTGTTTACTTACATCACCGTACACGATCTCATTGGAAGCAGCACTTCTGTAACTCGGTGACACGCAGTGGGTGTTAAAGCGAAGAGCAAGATAACAATGTCCTGGGACTCTCTTATTCCTCAAGAAGTCAAGTTGCCAAATCAGTAAACACACAAATTGTACTTTGATCTCCAGCAGGACGATGGATTGGTTCCAAAGCAAGGTTTGGGGCAGACATGAAGTGTGCTCTCTGAAGAGTATACACCCCTGCCAAACCAGACTTCTGCTCCTGCACAGATTCTAGTTCCTCTAGTGAGGAAAAGGAAATCAAAGCCCACAAGTCAGAATACATGCCCAGAGTTCATTAGTGCCATCAGGACACTGAGAGTTTGAATGTTTTTTATTACTTATGCAGAATTGCACATATTCCTATACACTGACTCTAACTTACCATGAAAGCTGTCCTGCCCTAGGAAGATGTCTTATTTGTAAATAAGTCTCATAGTTTTATTACTGATGGTGTTTTTATCTAGGATTTGAAAAACTTCTCAGTGTGCATAAATACGTATATATATTGTCAACAGTCCAAGGGGAAAAGATGCTGGATGAGGCCACCTCAACTGGCCTTGACTCAAATACCACAAAGTAGATACTTCCTGCCTTTATGTACCAGTGCCTCGGCCATTCGGTCCATAAACATCTAGTTCCCTAGACAACAGGATGGCCTTCCTTCATGTTATACGTGGTCAAAGGAAACAATCATACCTTATACCAGGCAGGAGCTGGCAACCTGTGGCCGGTGAACTAAACTCAGCCCATCGCCTTCTTCTGTACAGCCCAGGAGCTAAGAGTGGTGTTTATATTTTTTTGAATGGTTGGGGAGAAAAAAAAAGACAAAAGAATAACATTTTGTGACACAAAATTTACAGGAAATTCAGATGTCAGCATCCATAAATAAAGTGTTGTGGGAACATGGCCATGGTCATTCATTTGTATTGCCTGTGTGTGGCTGCCTTACTCTACAAAATACAGAGTTAAGAACTGTTCTGACAGAGACTATGAACCCAAAGCCTAACGCATTTACAAATTCTGTTGCCCCTGATTTCCCTGAAGGAGCTGAAAGCAAATTTCTAAAGCTTCTGGTCATCGGTAGGCGAGCTCACAGCTGTGATGCCCTGTGACCTCCACTAGGGGGTGCACGTGGGCCCCCTAGAAAGTGAAAAAAGTGAAGTCACTCAGTCCTATGAGTCTTTGCAACCCATGGACTGTAGCCCACCAGGCTCCTCCCTCCATGGGATTCTCCAGGCAAGAATATGCCCTGGGACCTCCACTAGGGGGTGCACGTGGGCCCCCTAAGTCCTCTCTAATTGAGGACAAGTGCTGTTTTCCTCCTTGAAGGCCCAAGGTTAGATCTCATATGATTCAAAGCCAGTTGCACTACCATTTTTTTCCTAACAGGAGCAGGATGGCTTCAAAAGCAAAAGTGAACCAATTCACTGAAACACCAGAATTAAGTAAATGAGATTTTTTACTTAATCTGCAGAAGAGGTTCCAGTTGAGAATCATGTCCCACTCATTTTTATGGCAGCCTTATATGAAGTAGGTTTTCAAAAAATCACTTGATTGCCACTCAGAAATTTTGTACAGGCTCACCTCATGATGGAACTGTGGCAGTTACTCTATTCACTTACATAGTTGTTGTTTTAGGGTTCATATCTTTTTACTCATTTTAAATTCAGTAGTTAATAAATGACTAGCACATCCATCTCTTTATAATGTAAACTTGTTACCAATGAGCATTTTAAAATAGAAAATCAGTAAAACAGCTCATGTTTATAAAATAGCTGTTATTATAGAACCAAATTTCAATGTAATATATAGAGTCATAGATTCAAAAAACCACACTATCCCGTGTCCTTTGTCAGCAGTGGAAATGCTCCAGTCCATGACATATCCTTGCCTCCCCCCACCACCTTTTTGGTCAGGATGACATTCAGTCAATTTAAGAAACAGGTGGCATAATCCACAGATCAACCAAAATTTAGGCTGAAAATAAACTTTAACCCAATTCTTTCCCTGTAAATTACAGAAAATACCTTTCACAAACAACAACACTATAAATAGCAATGCTTTCACTCAGCATCAATTATGTTCCACATACTAACACAAATGACCCTGTCCCGACAGACCCACATCGGAGCATACAGGCTCCTCCGTTTACTTTTTTATTCTCTTCCTACCTCATTTCACCTATTTCCATCATACTTTCTATACATGTTAAAGTTCCAAGGGGAGAAAATAATAAAATTCCAACGAAGTAAGTTAACCTATAAAGTGGTGAATTCTAGTCAAAATAGCTTACCTGGCATTTTCTATGTTTAGCCTTTCTCCCAAGCCCATACCTACAAGAAAGGCAAACTGACAGTAAAAATTAATAACGTATTATTCTGAGAACAGCGTGTTGCTCGGCATTTAGTATCTCCCCTACACAGATGGTACTGCAGTCTAGCCTCATCACCGCCCCCCCCATCAGCCCCTCAACTGGAACCATGTTTGTGTGGCACGTTTTCTAAGTTTGGATGGAAAGATGTTCAGTGTTGCAGGATACAGATGTTCTTGCTCATAAGCGCTGTACCAGTCCTTTAAAAGGTGAATTTATACCAGCCTGGGCCTTCGTTTCAATAAAGCTTTGTTTTGATATTCACGCTTCTGAATGGTCTCTGCACTTGGTATTTCTAAGCTTCAGCATATCTGTATTCCACAGTCACAAAAAATTTTACACATGTGAAAGGAATGACACTAAACAGTCCCAAGAATGTATGTAAAAGTCATTTTATTCATGTCAAGGCTTCTTAATGAGGTGTCGTTTACAACTGTATCAATGAATCTATGACTCTATATCAAGTGACAGGTTTATACAAGATTACTTTGAAGCCGTTCTTTTACTTTTGGGTGGTTTTCTTATCTTATTGGGGTTTGGAATCAGTTTCTTTATTTTCAGGGGTTGTAACACTACAGCCTGCTGACCCTCAGCATGCTTTCTCTTGGGTTTAGAGAGGTCTTCAAAGGAAGTGTCCAGAATCTCTTCATCTTGGCTTTCCAAAGATTCTGTCTGCAGGTTCTCCCTGGGGTCTTCGAGTGCATCCTGGAGCCATGCCACATTCAGACGGGGGACTCTGGGGAGGATGGCCCTCAGTTCCTCCCCAAAGGCAGTAGTGTTCCTCTTGAACCCCAAGGCCAGGACGCATTTTAAGCCCAGGACAGGTGCGAGCCTCTCGCTGAGCCGGGGCACCTGGCAGGCAGGGACACCTCTGCTGACACTCAGCTGCACCAGGTGTGAGGTCACGATGGCTGGCTTGGCAGACTTACACGCCAAGGCCAAGAGCAGCTCGTTCCTCTCTAGCGCTCTGGTGACCTCGTTGATGCCGATAGCAAGCTGCTTCCTGACATCAGCCGGGGTCCACCCTGACACCGGGGCATCACCTCTGGGCTTTTCTTTCTTCAGATCCTCACCAGTGTCCACGTCTATGCTGCTCATGTCTCTGCTTTGTTTTTTCAAAGGGGGCTGCTTTTTCTTTCTCTTCCTATCCTCAATCTTCTGAAGCCCGAGAGACTGAATTCTGTCCTCCAGGGTCTGCAGTATGAAGTGCATGTCCTCCCTGTCCAGGGCGCCCCAGCAGATGCTGTACGGGTTGTTCAGTGACGTCTTCACAGGCAGAGGTCTCGTCTTCCGCACGGAGCCCCGCCCTGGTGCTTGTGGGGCTGCAGCCATACTGAAAAATCCTTCACAGGGGAGCAAACAGCAAAGGGAAATTCGTGTTAACTAGACATGCGCGTCTTAAGAATATCTTGGTTGTGCTCTTTCTGATTTTTGAAAGGCTAGAGCAAGCCTACTTACATAAGACATGTATATACTTACATATATATATGTACATAAATAATTATATATATTTATGTAAATAATTATATATATATATGTGACCATACACCTAATCTCTCTTTTAAGTCATTTATTTTCCCCATTTTTTTCTGACTTAGTCTTCATTCATATACAGGCAATTTATGAATGTTTTGCCTTAACTGTAATCACAGTGAAATTCTATGTTTCCTTTATTGAAAATGTTCCAATGTTGCTTATTGTAATTATTTATCTTCTTCAGGACCTCTGGTATTAGTCTGATAGATCTCTGACCATTTTCTAAATTGCTTTCCACTTAGGCTTCTGTTTATCCATTCAGCAGATACTCACTGAGCACCTCTACTCGGAGTCACGGCACTGGGGTTCAGCCTTGAACAAGCTCCCGTGACCACGTCTGTGAGTCCCCAAACCCCTCTGCCCTCGGCGCAGAATCTCTGAGGGCCCTGGGAGCCTCTGCCATTGAGCAGGTGTGATTTTTGAAGACCTGGGGCCACAATATGTGCACATGGCTGAAAATCTGAATGATTCATTCTGTGCCCTTTTGTAAGTCCTCCTCCCCTCCCTGGACCCTAAGTTCCTTGTCTGTCCTTCCTAAAACACAGATACACAGATTCCCCCTTCCTCTGGTAAGTGCGAGCAGGCTGTTCCTCTGGCTGACAGTGTGATGAAAATAACAGGAATTTTGTAGTGAAATTTAAAGATACTAATCTGTTAAGGCAAAACAGAGGGATGATTGCTGGCAAAATGTTACAGATCACTGTTCTCGGGAGCATGTCCTGATAATCCCATCCAGAGGCAACTGCATGTTCCTCTCTTCTGTATTCTTCCTCACTTCCTGGGCTCACCTGGGAACCATAGGGACCCATGTTGCAAAACTGAAAGAAGGTAAATGAGCTAGCTCTGGAGAAGTCTGGAGTTTGGGACTGTCCCTGTTTTCAGGTAACCAAATTTTCTAATTCCAGATTTCTCCTCATGCCAGGTCATTCATCCCACAGATGCCCCCCCACCCCCAAGTGGCCCAGGCAAGATTAAGGATGACTATCCCCTCCAATAAACACCTTAAGAGCCTGGCTGCCAATGCTGAGAAGGATGTCAGAACAAGTAAGGCACTTTCTCCAAGAAATATTTGATTCTCACAAAATTCCATGAGTGGAAGAGGAAACAGACTCAGGTTAAATACCCTGCCAGAGTCACAGCTGGTTTCCTAAATCCAAATTCTGTGCTTTTTCAATCCTGGCTGCATCTCAAAAATAAGCTGCGACTTTTTAAAGTATATAGATCGTTGGTCCTTACCCTAGGTCTGCTGCTGCTAAGTCGCTTCAGTCGTGTCCAACTCTGTGCGACCCCATAGATGGCAGCCCACCCAGGCTCCTCCGTCTCTGGGATTCTCCAGACAAGAATACTGGAGTGGGTTGCCATTTCCTTCTCCAATGCATGAAAGTGAAAAGTGAAAATGAAGTCGCTTAGTCATGCCCGACTCTTAGCGACCCCGTTGGACGGCAGCCTACCAGGCTCCTCTGTCCATTGGATTTTCCAGACAAGAGTACTGTGGTGGGTTGCCACTGCCTTCTCCCTAGGTCTGCTGAATCGAAATCCCTGAGAATACGGCAAGGCTCCTTTTCTTGTCAGAAGGTTGCCCAGGTGACTCTGATACAGAACTGGGATTGGGAACCACTGTTGCAGGAGGGTACCTTTCCACACTTACATCCCTCACACAGGGTCTCCTGAACTCTGCTGGCCTCTGAAGTTCCTTCCATGTCACCTCACAGAAAACCAAAATTCAGCTCCCTGGAGTGAAAGCTCCTACCTTGTTCCTGTCAGTACGTGAACCATGAACTTCCAAGATGTTCAAGCTAGGTTTAGAAAAGGCAGAGGAACCAGAGATCAAATTGCCAACATCCATTGGATCATCGAAAAAGCAAGAGAGTTCCAGAATAATATCTACTTCTGCTTTATTGACTATGCCAAAGCCTTTGCCTGTGTGGATCACAACAAACTCTGGAAAATTCTTCAAGAGATGGGAATACCAGACCACCTGACCTGCCTCTTGAGAAACCTATATGCAGGTCAGGAAGCAACAGTTAGAACTGGACACGGAACAACAGATTGGTTCCAAATAGGCAAAGGGGTATGTCAAGGCTGTATATTGTCACCCTGCCTATTTAACTTATATGCAGAGTATATCATGAGAAATGCCAGGCTGGATGAAGCACAAGCTGGACTCAAGATTGTTGGGAAAAATATCAATAACCTCAGATATACAGATGATACCACCCTTATGGCAGAAAGCAAAGAAGAACTAAAGAGCCTCTTGATGAAAGTGAAAGAGGAGAGTGATAAAAGTTGGCTTAAAACTCAACATTCAGGAAACTAAAGCGCATGGCATCCGGTTCCATCACTTCATGGGAAATAGATAGGGAAACAGTGGAAACAGTGACAGACTATTTTTTTGGTCTCCAAAATCACTGCAGATGGTGACTGCAGCCATGAAATTAAAAGACACTTGCTCCTTGGAAGAAATATTATGACCAACCTAGACAGCATATTAAAAAGCAAAGACATTACTTTGCCAACAAAGGTCTATATCGTCAAAGTTATGGTTTTTCCAATAGTCATGGATGGATGTGAGAGTTGGACTATAAAGAAAGCTGAGCACTGAAGAATTGATGTTTTTGAACTGTGGTGTTGGAGAAGACTTGAGATTCCCTTGAACTGCAAGGAGATACAACCAGTCCATCCTAAAGGAAATCAGTCCTCAATATTCATTGGAAGAACTGATGTTGAAGCTGAAACTCCAATACTTTGGCCACCTGATGCAAAGCACTGACTCATTGGAAAAGACCCTGATGCTGGGAAAGATTGAAGGCAGGAGGAGGAGGGGATGACAGAGGATGAGATGGTTGGATGGCATCACTGACTCAATGGACACAAGTTTGAGTAAACTGGTAGTTGGCAATGGACAGGGAGGCCTGGTGTGCTGCAGTCCATGGGGTCACAAAGAGCCAGACATGACTGAGCGACTGAACTGAACTGTTCCTGTCAGTGGTGCTCACTGCTGAGACTCAGTGTCTGTCTCCTAAACTTCCTTCCAAAGCAGCCCTGCGCATGCCAGTCATTGGAGTCGGCTCTTCCCCTCCAGCTCTGCAAGCTGGAGGCTGCTCATCCAAATCCAGTGACGTGACTGGCAGAGGCTGGCACCAGGTTGAAGGTGGTCAGGAAGAGGGAATTCAGTGACCATGTAGCAAATACGGTGATCTAACGGAGCTTTCGCTGCACACAAGCTACAGTTCACGTGCCTACGAATTCAAACAACAGGAAGGGACATCCCCAGCAGTCCAGTGATTAAGACTTTGTGCTTTCACTGCAGGGGGCAAAGGTTTGATACCTGGCTGGGGAACTAAGATCCCACAAGCTGCATGACCAAAATCCCCCCCAAACAACAGGAAGTTGGTACTTACAGTTAGAAGCTCTGGGCATTAGCTCCTCCTGTCTTCAGAATCTAGAGGGGGAGACCAGAGCCAGATAAGTAGAATCTCATGGGATATAATCCAGAACCAAAATGGGAACAAGTAACAGCATTGGAGAAGGAAAAAATTAGGAAGGGCCTGCTGAGGTGCCTCTGGAGGCTTCTACTGCCCCAAAGATCAAGTGGAAACTTATTAAGGTGACATACAAGGGTTCCCATCTCCCCATCAGCCTTTATCCTTATGTCCCACCACTGAACCACTTACTATTTACCGAGGCCACCAGTCCAACCATCCATGGTCTTATACCCAATTCCCTCTGCCTGGAAAATGAGCCCCCCCTCAGCACCCCCACCACCTGTCTTACTTGAACAAGTATTTGTGGATTATACACACTGCACCAAGACAGAAAGATTATGAATTAAAAACAGCTACTGAACTCACTGGGCCTAATGTCTATGAGAGAGACTCATCAGCAAAGCATGTGATGCACTTCAAGGTCAGGGCCCGAGGCCTGACAAAGTTAAGGGGGTCAGGAAGGGCCTCGAGCAGGTGACAAATTTATTCATCTGACTGCACTGGGTCTTAGTTGCAGCATATAGGATCTAGTTCTTTGAGCAGGATTCCAACAGGGGTCTCATGCGTTGGGAGAACAGGAGTGTCAGCCACTGAACCACCTTGGAAGTGACCTTTTAACCCACATCTAAAGAATCCCCACCAAAAGGAGTACCTATTCGGGAACAGCATCCCAGGGAACTGCATGAAAGGAAATAATGTCAGTGTCGCTGGGGCATAGATGTGAGAGTAGAGAAATACTGAGAAAGGGAAGGACCAGATGGTGAAGACGCCTGCAACCCTTACAGTGGGAGCGGCTGTCACGTTCAAAGCAGAGGAACGGCACAGCTACAAAGACGTCATACAAAGACCTTGGTGGACTCGAGCCAGGAGGAATCTTTACCAAGACTGAAAGCAGCAAAAAGGAGAGTCAGAATAGTCCTGGGAAGACATGACAGTGACCTTCACCAGAGTTGCCGATGGACGGAAACACATGCTAGTTGAAACAGGAGGTACAATCCGCCCGACTTAGTGATCAACTGGGAGTAAAGCAGGGAGGACTCAGTTTCCGGATCTGGTAATCGATCCCCGAGGTCATCTCTCTCTGGTCTGCCGTCTATCTAGTGCCGACCTACTATTCGGCACACACGACTGGAGTTACTTTCTTGTCGGCCTCCACTTCTAGGCTGCGGAGAACAGAAGGGCCGGGTGGGGCTTTGTCTGATTGCTTCTCGTATCCAAAAGACGCTCAACTCCAAACAGAGCAGAGCCTGAGCCCGGGTCGGGACGCAGGAAAACACGCCGGGGCGGGGAAGCCCTAGGGACGGGGGGCCT